AAAATTTTTATAATTTATAGTTATGATATTTTTATACTATAGATATATTACAGTTATTAAATATAGTGTTGTTAATAGTATCTGCTACAAAGTGGTATTGTACTCGCAAGGAGATATTGTACCTATAAAGAGTATTTTAAGAGAGTGATATTTAATAAAAAAGGGATTTGTTTATCTTATGTATAATAGGATCATGATCATCAGGTTTTGTGTTACATATAATTTTATTATAAATGCTATAACTAATATGTAATTTATATACAGTACTACGCATAATGAAAATTGATCGCTCATGTCATATGATCTTTATTTAACAAATTGATAAATTAAAAAATAATTACTCCGGACTTACAAATTTAATCTTAGCTCTGGCCAAAATTATAATACATCACGTGATATATGTGTTTAGAAGATATATTTATTATATAAAAATTTCGATTGCATATGCATTCAAAGGATTATACAATAAGCATTAAGTCCAAACCAATAATATGCATTAAGAGGAGTTATGCATTCAGAGGAGATGCATTCAGGGGAGTTTGACTGTAGTTAAAATAGGAAACTATACTAAATAAAGAATATGTTTTCAGTGACCAGCGATAGTTATTTCACATTGTATTTCTTTAGATTATGGTAAATACGTAGAATTAATTTTGATATATCTGTACAAAATATTCCAATATCTCAATTCAGATAATCTATTTTATATTAGTGTATAATTTAGTGGGACTTAATATCAAAGGTGAAAACAATGATTTCAGATGAGAGTGCAATACTTTCAGCTGTTTGACTGTTTTGGGTGCTCACGGCAGGTGCAATAATATTTTGTAAATTGTATATTATCCGTACGAAAAAATTCAAAATGAAATTAATTCCTTACAACAAAAGGTATTTATGCCACTTGTCAAAAAAATATATATCAAAAAGATATATGGAATTTAATTAAATATATCTTCAGAACTGGGGAAGCCTGTAGGTGGGATAGTTATCATCCTGAAGGGTATTATTTCAACATACACCTTGTAGAGAATGTGGTAAATTGACCCATTCCTTATATGGAACATTTTCTAGATATCTTGTCCCTACGAGGCCTTATAAAAATCGAACATCTTATCTTATTTTTTATCTATAGATATAAAGAATATATATACTATCATAGATATAAGAGATATAAGAATAGAATATTGGGTATCATAGGTAGATAAGTTTCACTTTTTAATAGGAACAATAGGGACAGATGTAAAGGAACATAATTAATCAACCCAAAATCTCAAAATTGCTAGTTTAATTGTACTCTATGAACGTCCCAATGAAAAAATTTGTCAGGGATAAGAATATATATAGTAAACATATCTTACTCGATAGTAGATACCACGATCAAATCAATCGAAAAAGTAGATAAGTTCTGTCACAAGTATCTACAAACAACTAGTGATAATTAGTGACAATTTGTGACAAAAATTTCGGCATACTCAATACGTTACAATGTATTTGGTTCGAGACACGTATCCGCAATTTGCATACACGTTCCGGCTAAGTACTGTATATATGCCTAAAGCTATAAATGTGCATCAGCAGCATTCTGACACTTGCAACATTCATAGCATTTATTTCGAAACATATTTTTCACCCACAACCCAACGTGCAAAAATTATTATTAGAGATTATGTGTGATGCGTCATTACTTTATTTTGATGCAATAAAAAAAAACATTGCTCATATGTAAAATAAATTAAAGGTATCAATTAAAAATATTATAAAAGAAATTACATTCAAGATGTCAATTAAATTATTATAAAAGAAATTACATTGAAGGTGTCAATTTAAATTGTTATAAAAAGAAATTAAATTAAAGGTGCCAATTTAAATTACTACGTCTAAAAGAAATTAAATACTTTTGATGTAATCTTCAGAGATGGTCTCTCTCTCTCTCCCTCTAAAACATAGGTGATAATTTGGGTAGTTTGCGAGTTATCGGGCTTATGGCCTTTAATTTTATCATCCTTCCTTTGAATACCGCCATCCTATCGTCCGATTCTTTAATGGTATCTTTCAAATTGCATATAAGAGCCGAATGTCTCTTTTGGAATTCCTCAACGTAGCCGTGAGCATCATGAAATTCGTCGGCTTGAATCATGATAGCAAAGTATGCAAAAAAGACGAAAATGATGATTGAAAATTTGGTGATTGGAAATTTCATAATGCTGTTTTTTTTTTTTTAATACGAGGTAATGTTCTTATCGCATAAAATAGAGTGAAAAAATAACGATCATCTACATTGTTTATTCCACGATGTATGGCATTTTTATAACCAGAAGATGGACTTTGGATAACAAATTTGTATATGCTGTTTGAAATTTTATTTATTATGCGGAAAAATATGAGATAATTTTTTATTCGAACTTGTTGCTCCGAAATAATATGTTATATATTTTCTCGATACTGTCCCCTAAAGGGCTGGGACTATGATAACTATAAGTATACTGTAAATACTCTTAAGCTTTGAATGTAAACAATTATTTATTAAATATTATAATACATTAAAATTATATATAAATATACATTCTATACAAGTTAATATTTGTTGTTTAATTTTTTCCATAACCAATACCCAATCGTTCTAATAATTTCTGCAGCAAATTGCACTTCTAATTTTTCAAAATTTGGTTCGCTTTCTCTACAAATTGAATTTACCTTTAATTTTCTGTCATTATTAATATTTTCTACTCTTCCCGTAAAAGTTTCTGAATCTAAATTATTATCTTTTATTCCCATATTTGGCAAAATGAAATGAATTAAAAGTTCAGAAGTATGTGAACTAAATATTACCAAATGGCGATTGTTTTCATCTTGTAAATCTTTTGAATTGGAAAAATATGTAGAAAGAAAATTCAAAACTTCAGTCCAATCGAGTGACATTTCTAAAATATCTTGAAAATCTGGGTTAATCATAATAAGTTCACGACTATGCCATAATTTAGTCAACTCAAGAAAATCTCTAATGTCAATTTTATCATGAGGCTTACGGAGCTGACCCCATAATTTATCACGTCGATTGAATATTATAGCCTTTAAATTAATGTTAATATCAAAATAAATATGATTAATAAAAATAAATAAAAGTTTTTTTTTGTTTTTTAATAAATATTTCAAATAATTTTACCTGATTAATAATTGAATCAAGTTTTTTGTGGCAAAATATTTCTATTTCATTTTGTTTTTCTTGAATATCATTATCTGACATTTGACGTGTTGAATCATCGATAATAGGTGATGACTCCGCATTCACTTCGTTATCATTATCATATAATACAAATACATAATAAGCCAATCCAATCTTTCCTTCAACACATCCGACTTTTGGTGATAAAGTGAATGCCATAGTACATTGTGTTATTTCGTCCGAATCAACGTTCTTGGCTCGTTTAGTAGTGCGGAAAAGACATGATTCGCTGGAACAATTGTTTCCACATACTGATGAGGCGAAACAAGCTATAGGTTTATCATCAAAAGATATCTGCCGAAATCCAAAACGGTGAGGACATGTAACAAGATAATCAAATAAATCTAAAGTAATCAAATTTGTTTCTTTCTCGAAATCACCATAATAAATTCGATGACGTGAACGATATGCAGGTTGGGGATGTCGTCGAATAAATGCTCCGATGGCCTCGATAATATTAAAAGGTGGGGGATTTTCCATTTGTTTTTGTATTATACGTTCGATGTAACGTAATTGAAAGTCATAAACAAATGAATTTACATGAATCATTTTTTTAAATTTTCCACATTCCTCCGTAAATAATCTCAAACTATTTCTATCACTATCAGCGGCATCGAATCCTGGTGCTGCTAAACGACTTCTACCATAACGTCGATTGAGTGTATACAAAGTAACACATACAAAATCTCCTTGAATACGAACTTCGCACATAATTGATCCTCCTTGAAGTGCTTTCAACAAGAATACGGCAGGAGTTTCGTCTACCACATTCTCTGTTACATAATAGGATGTAAAAAACGGTAAATTCAATCCAGCTTTATTTCCCAATACCATTTGCATACCAATTTTTTCAAGGTAATTCGCATATCCATGTAAAAATGATTCAACCATATCTTCGTACCAACGAGAAAGTTTTTCGTTATTACCTGAAGAAATTTGTTCTATAGTAGGAATATTTTTAAATTCAACTTGATCTTGAGTATTTGGTTCATTTTTATTTCCAAACAACAATCTTGTTCTACAGAAATGCAAAAGTCTTGAAGTACGGAATATAATTGCTAAATCAGCAATTTTTTCATGAATATCGACATTTTCTACTGTGTGTTCTTCATATCTTCTTGCCCAATTCTTATATACGGTTCGAGCATTGTCATGAGCTTGTGATATCTTAGCTTGACGGATCCATGCTTCTATGAATGGTGGTCCATGTCTCATAAGTGCATCATGATTTCTTTCGAACTGTTTATTTTCAACCAATGTTTCGATATGTGCATCCTTTAATACTTCATTTAAATCCAGTGCAGTAAGCGATATATGGTTAACGACAAGTTGTGTGTTGACGTTAGGAAAATTCATTCCTCGCTTATCTGGTAGTTTTTGCATGTGCGGAAATCGTTCCTTTATAAGCGATTCCATAAGTGATAAATCTGTGAACTGTTCGTTAAAATTACCCTTCACAGGAGTTGCAGGTGGAGGTTGAATTAATTTAGGTGTATTGGGTACACTGAAAGAAAATCCACTCGATTGATAAAATAATCCCATTTTCTGATGAAGTATATTATTCAATAATCCGATACGTTCATTATGCCAATCAGAAATCCTTTTCATGGCAGTAAAGACTTGTTCCGCGTATTGTTTCTGCCAATTATATATATAAATTGATAAATCAAAGCCATCGATTGTCATAAAAAGGAAGCAAGATCGATATAAATTAGGTGTAAGTCGTTTCTGTGGTCTAATTCCAGGTATTATAGTATGCATCATAATATCTTCCAGCTTTGATTGTGCAGTTGATCCTCTCCTAGAATGAGTTCCGTTGGGCTTTTCATCAGAAGACACCACTTTGGGTGCACCATATTTTTGATAAAATTCTTTAAGACCTGCAATTAATATATATTGTCTTGGAATTGTCTTTGTTTGATCTACAGCTGGAATCGATTGTTTTGGTCTATGAATTTCATATACAACACGTTCTTCGATTGATGATGAGACAGAAGGAACTGCTCGCAATATAATAGGTGTGAAGATGGTATTTACATCAACCAAAATTTCATGAACTTCATTCAAAAAATCATCCATCATCCACGATGGCATATCGAGTCTTACTTTCAAATGATGCAATGCAGTATTTGCCAGGCTTACTGCTTTTTTTATAAGAGCCAAGGATGGATCGATAAAGGTCTTTTGAACATGCAAATCTACATATTCCAAAGATTTTTTTTGAGGAGGATTAATGTCTGATTCTGGAACAATCGGAATAGTCGAAACAGCTGGAACAGTAGAAACAGTCGAAGCAGCTGAAACGGTCGAAGCAGAAGAAACGGTCGAAGCAGAAGAAACGGTCGAAACAGCTGGAACAGTTGAAACATCTGGAACAGCTGGAATGGGATCATCAGAAGCGCGCTCTAAACTTTGCGTAATTGAATCTTCAATGAAATAATCACAAAGACACTGTCTGAAACTTTTTAAAATACGTTCAAATAAAATATTCCAATTAAGGGAACCCTGAGTCCATAACTCAACAAGTAATCTGAAAGAACACTTTGTTCTATTATTGAGAGAATAAGACCATGTATCTGAGTTCGTGGAGGCTTTTTCTTTAGAAATATATTCAAAAATTGCTTTCATATCAGTATCCTTTACATCTGTATTATCTGATATATTAAGTTCGTAAACTAGTTTTCCATTGTCATCCAATAATGTCAAAAAAATTCCAGCAATTCCTTGTCCAACGGTTTGTTCAAACGTTGACGGTGCTTTTAGTTTATTATTACTGAAGTTATAATAAAATGCAAATTCATACAGTTCAGTATCATAGGTTGTTTTCCTAGAATAATATTAAAATATTATTATCATAATAAATTATTAATAAATTATTATATAATTGTTAATAAAACTCAATATATTAAAGAAAATTTTCATGTACCTTTCCCCATCCGCCGTATCATTCTGTACATTATTGTTTTGTTTAACTTGAATAAAGCTTTCTATATGATGGTTCTTTATCGCATTAATAACTTCAACTCCATTTAATATACTTAAATATTGAGAAAGATTTTGTTTGAAATAAATCAAAAACGTATAAGGATTTTTAATAGATACTGGAATATCTAATATAAGACGTTTGGGAGTTTTAAATATAGGAAGAATAAAGTCTACATCCTATAATTACGAATTTAATTGCGGATTTAATTAAGAATCTAATTGTGAATTCAATTACGATTTCATATTTATAAAAAGCAGTATAAATAATAAATTTAAAAATTCCTACCGCTTTTGTTAGACTCATTGTAGACGGGTTGCGATCAAGATAGAGGGACATTACACTGAGTGTTATATTTGTAATTAATTTATTTTCCAACATGTTCATTATTTCTTCGGTAATTTCTCTTCCCGGTCTATCCAGGCCAAATACTTCTACCACTAATTCTCTAACTGTATTCTTTGGTGAATTCTTTTTTGATTCCTCGGTAACTTCTGAATTTGATAAACTATGAGTGTTCGGATCTTCATTATTTCCGACTTTAAGATATTCATTATTTCCGACTTCTGATATTTTAAGATATACGTTTGAATATGCTAACATATGTTTACGATTTAAAACTGAAAATGGATCAAGAGCGGCTGCGAGTCCATTTATAGCTTGATTTGGTTTTAATCGCCAGTGAAGAGGAAATTTTTTGACAAAAACTAAAGGACATTCAAATTGACCAGGTCTAAATTTCTTGCTAATTTTACCATCATTCGGTACCATAGGAAGTACATCTACCAAATTTCTTGAAGATGATTCATCTTCTGAAGAAACGTCGAAATCAGATGATCCATCGGGTGGCACTAAATATTTACTAAAAAGTGTACAATAAAAAATAAAAAATAAAAAATATAAAAATATTGAGTATAAGATTTTTATACATATATATATAGAAATATATATAATATTACCTGCAACGACGATTTTTTTCAAGTTCATCTAACAATATCAATCTGTTGACCTTTTCTGACACTTGTACAATACATTTTCTTACATGTTTTATAATATTTGACCGTTCAATTGCAGAAACGGCTTTGGAATAAAAGTACATTTGAATACTCGCTTTTTGAGGAATAAGTATTAACCAAAATAGTTGCTTGTGGATAACAGACTTTTTAACAGACTCTATAGTTAGATCCGTGGAATTTTCGGCTTCTTTCGGATGAATGAGACTTATTCCAAGACCCTCGGCTAATTCCTTCCCCCCATCATCTTTTATATACTCCTCAAATGGAGGTTCTAACGTAGAAAATTGTTCTATGCGTGTATCTTCTGGCATATTATCAGGATGAAATACCGGAGATGCATTACATGTAGTATCCGCGACATCAAGAGGTCCTGTTATTTGTTCATCCTCACTAATATAAAAGCATTCTTCCACTTGATTCAAAGTAAATGGTTTCATGGTTGCTTTACTAAATTCCTGAAGAAATCGTTCTTGACCTTTATTTAGACGAACGAACGATAAAGGTACAGTAAATGTTGTTGGAAAATCTACATAAGGATTTTTATGTTTCAATTGTGCTTGAATAAACGAAAGGACGGATCGATTTACATGTTGGGTTTTAAGAAGTCCGTGCATCATTTCCTCTTTCAAGAGCCAATCAATTCGATCCATGGTTTCGATTAAAGCCTCACGTTTATCATCCGTTAATGAATGTAATTTTAATGAATTATCATTTGAATTATTTGAATTACTTGAATTATCTGAATTATCATTTGAATTATTTGAATTATCAATTTGTTTATCATTTTCTTCCGGTGTAGGATCCACTTTGAGATCTTTGAGATCCATAAAATGAGACGTCTTAATTTCTTTATTCATTTCATTCACTGGAGGTAAAGTCAAACAAACTATGCGTAAAATAGCTGTCGTTCCATCTGAAGATTCAACTGGAGAAGAATCTGTACCAATTGATTCAGGTGAAAAATCATAATATTTACCGTCGGTAGAGCAAGAATACGTGTTCGGTAAGTTTGAAATTGGAAATTTGATGAAATTATTAAAATTATTTTTATTTTCCGTTATTTCAAATCCTTCTTGAGTAGGATCAATACTATCTAAAACAACAGGTTTCGATGGAGGTTTCATAAAAATACATTCTAATCGAATAAATAGAGGATTTCCAGCTCCATTAAAAGTATCGAGAAAATTCCCTGCTATGTCAGTATTATCAATAGAATCCATCTTTTTTATGCGATAATAGTAATATTTACTTTGCGATTTTTCTTCAACGAAATAAGCCGGTTCGAAAAAATGACCAAGAACGGCAATAAATTTCTGACCAACGTCATCAATGTCATCACTTTCTATACCTTTACGAGAGGCTAGAATATTTACATTCACATATCCAGTAATATTTATATCGAGATTTATTTCTATACAAGCTTCAATGGCTTTTAGAAAATCATCCACTTTGACTTTATGTTTTTGTAATACACTCGCATAAATTGACTTTGCAAATCCACGTGCATATAAATCTGTGATATTACGGATAACTTTAGTTGCTTTATCAGGTATTCGAAATCCCTTTTTTGGACATTCTGGAAATGAACTCAAAATTATTTTGGACTCCAATGTATTATTATGTTGAAGATAAATTCGTTCAAATTTTAGTGAACGTTCTCTCAATAATTCAGAAGGATTTTTTCCAAAATTATGATTAAGCTTTTTAGGTCGTTTACATAAAAATATCAATAAACTTAAATTACATGGTTTCTTCTCTCTATATGTCACATTTTGCGTCATTGCATCCAATAAAACTTTGAAAGAGGGAATGAATATAAGAAGGAAAGCATTTGGATTCACCATTTTAACAAAACATCGAGATTCCCGAAGATCTTTGGCGTACAATATAGTAGTGGAAGTTTCATGAAACATTTTTGACTCCAATAACCCATTGATTATTTCCTTTAAAATCGAATCTCTATAATTATCACTTGTTGTATCGATTTCCCCGTCAACATGTTTACTTAATGTTTTCTCAACGAAAAGATGTAATAAAGCTAAATCTCTGTCCGAAGTTTCCAAAGTAGCTATTAAATCTTTATCCACTACATATGTAATATCATGGTTTGTATCATTAGACATTGAAAGTGAAAGTTTTCGTTGAATTGTTGCCTCGAACATGGATTTTCTTGAACGTGAACTCATTGATGGTGATTTAATATTTGATCTATTATTAGAAGATTCCATGAACTCTGTATATGAATTATTCTTTTGCAAACGACCAAATTTATTTGATTGAAAATTCAATAAATTTGTTAATATGAAAGTAGGAATTTTGTAATTTACAACTAAAAATCTACTAGTACGAAGTAATGATGGAAGGTTGAATAAATCGGGCATACTAAAAGATTTTGGGGTAATTAATAATTCTAAGTCGGCTCGTTGTTTTATGCGAGTTTTTGCAATATAATTTATTTGATCGAATGTTACTAATTGTGATAATTTAAACCTATCTGTAGAAGCGATTTTATTTGCATACGATTCATATATTTCATTCGAATTAGGATGTAACGAGGGTTCCATCCATAATTCAGTCACAATCTCTTCATTACTCCTATTCATAATATGATGAATATGATGTTGTACACCACATATTATTTTTTGTTCAGAATTAAATTCGATATCATGACTTTTGTTGGGTAATTCAATTTCCTGATAAAATATTTTTCGATCGTTATATTCAGCAACTAATTGACAACCTTCATTCGATCTTGTTTGACATAAATATTGAAAAGCCAAATCATGCAAAGATGGATTTTTATAATTTCCAAGGATAACATCCTTATTAATATCTGATAACCAAGTCCAACGTGAATGTCTTAAATATGATCTTACAATGCATGATCGACCTGTCATCTGGTGATAAACCGTCGAATCATATTTACTATTACTACTATGACGTAAATTTTTATCTTTTATGAGAAACCTTGATAAAGGTCTTTTACATAAGTAATAATTTATTCCCTTATTATTATCAAGAATAAAAAATAATTTATCAAATTCCTTTTGACGTGATATAGCTTCTACGTTGAAAAATCGTAATTTTCCGGTAATAAAACATCCAGATTCTTGTTTAATTTTTAATTCACAAAAACTAATTAATTTCGAACTATCTGCTCCAGTGTAATTAAAAATTTTAACAAATATATTATCTTTTTCAACAGAAAATGTAGCCCACTTCTTGATCAATAATTCCTTAATAAGGTTAAAAGTGTTTTCTTTTTCAATTTTTCCTTTATCACGACCGAGAACTTGTCCAGAAGGATTATTTGAAGTTTTTTCTAAAACTTGGGGTGAAATAATTAAACGAAACACTATATCATCGAACCAAAAATTTGCTTTTGGACGATTAAATATTTGATATAATTGTTTAAATATTTCTAACCGATTAAATGGCGTTGTACCATTAATATTTGTAAATCGAAATCTATTATTTTCTCTAGGTGGCTTAGGTAGTGGTTTATGAAACATATGTTTTTTGAGAAGATCATCAGTTTCTAAAATGACTGTTAAGAATTTAAATAATCTCTTAAATTTCCAATAAAGTGGATGATCTTCACCATAATTATGTCGAGCGGTCTGAAAATTAAGATGATAAATAGAAAAAATTGTATCAGCCAAAATATTTACTTCAATTCTTGGTGATTTTAATTTTGAAAAACCATTTGCATCACTTGTCCAAACTGCTTTAATTTTATATTGAATTGTAACATTAGGTAACCAAAGTCTTGACAATATAATAATAATAATTTTTTTTTCGGCTCTATTATAACCAAATCTACCACCAGGTAATAACATTATACTATCAATATTAAAACCTTGACGTAAACGAATGAAAATTAATTGTTGAGTATCAACAGAAAGTAAAGAATATTCACGATAACGCGTTGACATTAATTCAACTGTAGGTGGTTGACTTCTTGGATCCCATGGAAAACTATAAACATCATGATCCTCTGAGTTAATAGAAATATCCTTTGAAAATATTTTTTGATTCCTTTTTTTTAAAAAAACTGTTTCTCTTAAAAGTAAATTTTTATGATAAAAACTTGAATCTAAATTAATTGTAGAATCATTTATTGATATATCAGGACAATCTTCTGAAAAAATAAGAACTCCAGAAGTTGCAGTAGCGACAAATTGTAATATTTCATTATCAGGTAATAATCCAAAATTAACATTTGGATCAAATTCTTTACGAGAACCAATTTGTATTATATTACATCTTATATCTTCTTTACATAATTTTTGAATAATATCATCATTTTCAGTCATTTGAACAAGATTTGATTTGACCACACCATCAGTGATAATCACAATTGATGATATTCCTTCATTAGGGAGAAATCTCCTAGCAAACAATCCTGCATGAAGACTAAATGCAAGATTTGCACCACCGGATCCTAATCTCCAGATATAATCTTTTTTATCAAAACTTGGAATAGAACCACCAGGATCTGGTTCTAATTCATTCTTTGTTCCAGTAACATCCATTTCATATGCCGCAGGAAGTTTAGCTCTTCGAAGTCGTTGTCGAGATTCTGCGACTTCTTGTAAAAAACGAGTGAATTCTGATTTTAAATCGATTATAATATTAGACACATTATGTCTATTCACTGTAACACCTTGTAAGAGTACCCTCATTGTTGGATATTCTTCCATCTCAGGTATCAAGAAGACGTTTGAAGCAAAATGGGAACATTCGGCGATTACAGATATTGATATTTCTGGTTCCATCTAATTAATGAAATCAATAAAATTTAAAAATCAAAAACCTCTTGGAATATGAATATAATATAAAAAGTACTTATGTACCAGAAGAGCTTTATCGAAATTCAAATCCTGAATAATAAAAGGTTTAACAAGGCCCAAAAGACATTTCTCTAGTCTATATAATTAAAATATAAAGAATCGGAAAATAAATAAATAAATAAATAAATATATATATATATATATATTTATTATCTTATTTTTCAAATCAAAATTAAAAGTTATAGTTATATATGAAATGAAGAAAATTTTATTACGTTTCTGTCACCTTGGACATAAGTATTCCTTTTAAGTTATTATAATCAATTGTTGCTAAAGAAGAAGTAACATCCAAAAGAAATACTATACAATATTTTGTACTTATGGTGAGGATACGAGAATATGGCATAAGTTTATAAATTTTATCATCTTGGAGATCGGGTAAATTTTCTAGAGTATGTACATCGTTAGCTCTTCTTTCTGCTTGTGATTTTATTAATGAGGCAAGTCGTGTATTTGAAACGTGTATAACTTGAATATTCTATGTAAAATAATTTATAAATTGCAAAAAAGTTAAACCTAAGTAAAATGATCTTTATTAATAATTATATTGGAACTGAAAATAATACATTGTCTTTTCCTAGTCTTAGAGGTTTAAAAAGTCGTCTTAATAACCACTTATGAAGATCGACTTTTGTAAAATTTGTGGTATTCCTCGCGATTAAGAAGATAGTTTTTGCCTCTTGTGTTGTCTATATAATTTGTAAGTATGAAAACCGGAAAATTCCTGAGTAAGTAATTCTTAATATAATTCTTAACGAAAAAGAAGATTTCTTGATACCTCTCGGTATTCATCGCGAACAACAGGAATCCAAGGAGAGGATTCTAAAGAAGAAGACATGTTTTAAAGCTGAAATTCACCAGATGTTTTCTACGTTGTTTATTTAACATTAAACACGTTCGGCATGTGACGAAAAATTAGATAAAAATTTCAAACATTTGACATTTTAGATTCCAAACAAATACTAAAATGGTAAATTGTTTATCAGTCACGATTTTTACGGAGTCATATGAATTATCTATTTTTATCTTTTTTATCTTTTAACTTTTTTTTTTTTTTTTTTAAAGATGGTCAAACTTGAAGAGGTACATACTTTATATTGTTATTATCATATTATATTATATTAATATTTTTATAATAATTTATTTAAATTTTATACATATAACATTTCTCATTTCTAACGTGTAAATTCGAAATATAATTCAATATCTAATTCGATATATAAAGGTTGCAGACGATCATGAATCTACTGACGATGAATCGTCAGATAATGAAACAGCTAGTTCAGTATCTTCAGGTTCATCAAGTGATTACGAAGAATCAGTTTTTGAACGAGTATTAGCTTTACGTGATATTATACCTGAAGATACTAGGGAATCAATATCAAATAATGTTTCAACGTTAATGAGCTTTGGAGCAAAAACGGCACGATTTTTAGGAAATACATTTTGGGTGTTAACCACAACAGCATTGATATTGGTAATGCCTTTAGCTTTAGAAATTGAAAAAGAAAGTGCTATTATTCAAATGGAAAATGAACAAAAAGCTATGGTAATTAATTAATTTATTTATTTATTTATTTATTTATTAATTTATTTATTAAATTTCATAAAATTTAATTTTCAAAAAAAATTAGATGGGAGGACAAACGGGTAATCCTTATGGTCAGCCAGGTGATTCTCCGGGACAACCTTCCCAACCTCAACAACAACCTCGATTGATTCCCCCTGGTTTCTAAAATTAATCACTTTTTAATATAATTTTTAGTGTTTTTTTTTTAAAAAAAAATTTTATGATCATTTATCATTTTATATAATAAAAATAATATTTGTGAATACTGTTTTATTCGTGTGTGTTTATGGGAATAATTTTTATTTTTGAATACGATTAAGCCAATTAATCATAATTTCATATATATAAAAGGTTACAGCATTTACGGGCCAAGCTCTTATAAGTGTTGGGGTTATTCCTTTGAAAAATCCTGAGATTCCTTCTTGAGAATATAAACGAAAAGTACAATTTATAATTCCAGAAAAAAACTTTGGAATAAAAATATTATTGTTAATCATCATTAATTTGTTTTCTGTAAATTTCGTTGTTGAAGACATCATAAGAGCAGCGGTAGTAAAAGGTTGGGTTTGTATTCGAGTCTTTATGACGTCTTTTAATATGTGTTGTAAGTAAATTATAATTATAAATATACAAATATATCTTCAATCACTTCAACAATATAAGAAAGGAATAAATATAATTCACCTAAAGGATAAATACTAGCCCAAGATATCACACCAGCCATACCACCAGAAAATAAAAGTTTAATATCATTAATACTATCATCTGATGATGATGATGCATTAGTTAAACGTTTAATTCCTTCATAAGCCCTATTATAATAATGTATAATAATTGTTTAATAAAGTTTAATAAAGTTTAATAAAGTTTAATATTTAAATTTAAAAATTTACCAAAAGTAAACACCATAACCTGGTGCATCACGAATTATAGTTACAAGTCCTCCTTGATAAAGACCTAGAAACAAAATATAAAAAAAAAAAAAAAAAAAAAAAAAAAAAAAAAAAAAAAAAAAAAAAAAAAAAAAAAAAATAAAAAAAAAAAAAAAAAAAAAAAAAAAAAAAAAAAAAAAAAAAAAAAAAAAAAAAAAAAAAAAAAAAAAAAAAAAAATTAAAATTAAAATTTATCAATTCACATATAAAAATATGAATGAATAATTCACCTTTGATCCCTTGAGTCTTGATGACATTTTTAAACACTGAAAATGAGTTTGATTCTGGAATCATCAAAGTCTTATTCTTAATATGACTATTGTTATGATTATGATTATGATTATGATTATGATTATTATTATTATTATGATCGTTGACGGGTAAAATAATTGTTTGTGCTCTACATTTAATCAATTCAGTTGGAGTGCTAACCAAAGAACATGAAAAACCTGCCCCAAATCCTGCTAAATAAACTTGAAATAATGATGGTGGTAATAAATCATTTGAGAATTCATAATTTTTAGAATTTCTTTTAAAAAAACGTAAGATACCACCATAAGAAGCAAAAAGGATTGAATTTAAAAATGCCAATCCTATAATTGGGGATCCAACACCTTTAAATAATGATTTAAACTTTAAATTTTATTGTAATAATTTTAGTAATTTTAATAAGAAATATCAAAACACCTAAAATAATAACAACATACCCCTTCTGATTTTTTCATATTTATTAAAATGTTAAAGGATGATTTTTGTTTATCATTTACATGAGAAGATGTAGATGTTTGTAAGCGAACCTATTATAATTTTATCATCATAATTTTATTCATAATCTTATCACACAAAACTTTATCATATATATTATGAAAAATCTTATCACCTTTAAAACATCTAAAGGACTTCCAACTATAATTCCTGCCACACCACCTACATATCCTATAAATCTTTATATTATAAATTATCATCATCAAGAAAATTTTATCACCAATTATAAGTTATTATTATTGTTATTAATATTATTACCTGCAATAAAATCATTAATGCTTTCAGCTAATCAAAATTATTGAAAAAAAAATATCAAAAATTATTGTTAAAATTTATTCACTTAACTCAATAATACTATAATAATTAAACTTATTATTATTACCCATCGAAAGTGAAAGATCAGAATCAGATATCTTAAAATGTAAACCTGATATGAACAATATAAATTAATACGTGGTGACACAAACGTAGATCGCCTATATAACTATATATAAGCTTTTACTTCACTTTTTTTTCATCTCTCTTTTTTTTTTACAATATGAACAACGAGGATATTGGAATAACGATTAACAGGTATGGAATAATAATTACTAATTTTCTGACCTATTGATAGGTCCACGTACAAGGCTTCGGCTTTGGACCTGTGCCTGTTTCGTTTTGCGCGCATTACCAGTTCGCTATGTGGCCATCTGATATTTTGATAACAAAGTAATGAAGTAACACACTAAGAAAGCTAACAATAATCTATAAAGCAAAGAAATTTTTTATTTTAAGTAAAACTATAATTAGAAAAGCGGAAGACTAATTTTTTTTTGTGTAGTTAATAAATCTATAATATTTGCATTAAAATGTATTCAACCAATAAAGAATAAATTTAACGTTTTCAAAAAAAAAAAAAATATTTAGAAGTTTTAAAAAGTTTCAACTAAAGTTTATTTTACAATAAGGATAAAGTTTAATTTTGAAACTTTAACAATATATTACATATATATATAAAAATATATTACATAATGAGGCGAATCGAAAATACAATTTTTTTAGTCTTATTAAAAAAAATGCTTATCATATTGAAACAAAAACAAATAAGTTAAAATTGCTGAAGTTAAATTTAATCATACATTCTAATCATCATATTCGTTATATTCATCATATCCATAATCATCATCATAATCTCTAGAATAATAATCATTGTCATTGTTATCTCCTCGTGAATTATAATCTTCTTCGAATTCGGTATATTCATCAAAATCTTCTGACATTTGAGGTGTCAAAATTACATCCTTATTATTATTATTATTATTATTATTATTATTATTGTTATTATTATTATTAACATTATTATTATCAATAATATTATTATTTATATGATTATTATCATCAATATTATGATTATTATTTATATGATTATTAATATTATTGTTATTATTATGATTATTAATATTATTAATATCATCATCATCATTATTATTATTATTATTATTATTATTACTATTTCTAAGTTTAGATATTGATTGTTGATTATAATTATTATGATTACTATCATTATCCCATTCATAATTTTGTTGTTGTTGATCATCTTCATCCCATCTAGTAATAGAACTAGCGGGTGTACCACTACGTGCAATACCTGATCCACTGACACTTGTAGGATCATAATCTCTCCATGATGTAGGAGTATTAGGAATACTATCTGACATGTTATCAAATAATGAATCTAATACTTTAAAATTTATCTTTTTAGAAAGATTTCTTTCTTCAAAAAGTCTTCTTGCCGCTTCAGCCGGCGTACTGGCTACGGCATGTTCATCCGATTTACCTTTTCTTGGTCGTTTATGCTAAAAAAAATTAAGTTAATGAATTTAAATTAATTTTATATGATAAAGATAAATAATTATTAAAAAAAAAAAAAAGATTAACATACTCGTCGAATTCCTATTCCATTTGCTCGATCCATTTCTTGTTTCTTCTTTTTTTCTATTTACAATATTTAAAGTAATCAAAGCAAGTTTTAATTAATCAAAGATTTGATAAAGATAACATCAATAAAAAATATTTCTACCTTCAACTTCTTCTAAATATTCACGATTCATATCCATCCATACTTGAGTTTTTATTTTTACTTCTTCCTCGGACAAAATAACATTCTTTATTTCATCATCGTCAAAATCAGAATCTATATCCTCTTCATCTAATTTGTCATTTTCGGATTCCTCATTTTGTTTTTTCTGTGTTTTTTTTCGTCCATCTTCTTCCATATAGTAAATTAATTTAAAATTTTAATAAAGAACAAATTGAATAAAGATATAATCTCAATAAAAGAATAAATTTTCGATAAAAGTTTACCCTCTAATTCTGTGCTAATTTTTTTTAAATTTGGGTCGTTGAGATATGAAATCATTTCTTCTTCTAATTCCTTTTCTATTTGTTCCTCGACATTATTACAATTTGGAGTATCTGTCTCCTCTTCTCCATCAACATCCTCTTCTTCTTCTTCTTCTTCTCCTTCTTTTCGTTTCCTTCTTTTACCAACTGAATCTTCTTCTTCATCACAATCATCACCACCTTTTCCTTTTGATGATGATTCGGATGTGGCAGTAGTAGTTGTTGTTGCTGTTGTAGCATTAGTAATTTGATTTCGTTTACCAATCATACTTTTTTCTGCTTTGCGAGCTTTCGTAAATGCGGGAGGATCACTTTGTTGTTCAAGCCATACAACCCTAAAGTCTTGAACTGAAAGTTTGGCTGTAGGTGTTTCTTTAAATTCTTCGATTCTAATTACAAAAATCAAACAAAATTAAATAAGTTATAAATAAATTTCATTTGAACATTTAAGGTCTGATATAATATTTATGAATAACAACAATTATAACATAGATTATGTCACCTTCTTTTTATTGTTACATCTGCAGTTTTAACTACGGCGATTACTTCTTTGACACTTCTCCTAAAGTTATTCATTCTAGCAGCAATTAACAAGCCTAATAAATTAATTACAAAAATGAAAATTAATAAAATATAATAATAAATAAATATAATAAATAATAATACATATAATAAATAATAGATTATAATAAATTGTAATAATAATCTATATAGTAAATTCTAACAATATACATATTATACATATTATACTCACACGCGCCACAAATTCCTGCTGGTCGCCTACCAGTTTGCATCCAATCTCGTCCCATTCGTGCACAAAGTCTAGAAGCGTCCGTAACTACTCTACTTGTTTCCTCTCCAAATTCTAACATGGAAGCGAATCGTGAAATATAAATTGATGGATCTATCAATGGAAGCACAAGATGAAGTGTATTCACCAATTTTAAGAAAGTAGATCCAAGTGTAAAAACATTAACCTAAGAAATTTTATTTTATTAAATAAATAAATCATTTTACGATACATATAAGAAAAATATATTAATTGAAAATATTTAATTAATTAATTAATTGAAAATATAAATTACTTGTAAAATATCTGAAAAATCAATTAACATATGACACGTCTTTTCAGTACGGCATACAATATAAAGACATGCTGCTATGACATGTTGAGTCTTTCGGCCTTGAATGAAATTATTTGTTATTGCAAGGTTAAAATATCGTTGCGCTGCTTCCATTAAATGATCTGAAAGACGTAAAGCAGTGGCGAGAGCTTGTATTTGTCGTCTACCTTTTTTTTAAAAAATAAAATAAAATAAAATAAAAAAAAAAAATCATTAAAAATAAATCGAGTAAATCAAGTAATCTCGATAAATTTTTTAATAAAATTTTTATTTTATAAATTACCATTAGCAATAGTTTGTTCTCTCGAGTCTAAGCTCGAATTTCTTCGATATGGACCAGCAGTTCTGGCTCTTCCTATACAATACGAGTAAAAATATTACACTTCAAATATATCAAACTTATCAAAATTATCAAAATTATCAAGTATTTCCTAATTTTTATTTACTTTGATCCGCTCCAACATACGATCCCTGTAAAATAGCAGCTCCCGAAGCACTTTCTCCAAAAGTAACTTCCGCAACAATTTTACTCTCTTCCACAACCTTATAAAGATAGATAATTATGTAATTATTATTATTTTTTTTTTATCATTATTGGAATTTAAAGCACCAAAATAACAGTGTGTTAACATACATATCCACACTTAGCACAAAATGCATGTCCAGCCGCGGAGTCATATTCAATTCTATTTTCACCACAATGTGAACACGACATTTTTTTTGTAATAAATTTAATAGAAATTTATTGGAGTTTAATAGACCGTATAAAAATTTGTCGAAAAATAAATTTAAGGTTCTTTTTTTTCTTGGAGCAAACAGATACGACGTGTAGAATTGATTTCAATGTTTCGAGATCAATTCGTTCTAATGACGAAATTTAGATATCTTTTCTGGTGCGTATGCGTATAATCGAGTCGTGTAACTTGATATAAAAAAAAAATTTTTTTAAGAAAAATTAACATAATGAAGGGGCTCGTTAATATTGTTATACAAGAGATATTTTCGAATTTTTTATATTATAGTATTTGAATGTATACATTTGAAGGAATCTATTTGTGGAAAAAAAAATTTTTCTTGGTTCATGTAAGTATCACATGATGCAATTTTAGCCAATAAAAATTCAAAAAAATATTTTAACAGATGCAAAATATTTGAAATCATTTTTTAAAGTAAAATTATAATAATTAACTATTTTTAGTATATTCTCAAATTTGATAGGTATAATTAAATACAGGAACTTCAACTTCAGTAAAAGTTAATTAATTTAAATTAGATAAAAATTTTAATTGATAATTCTAAAAGCTTAAGTTCTGAGTTATCAATTTCTATAGTTATAATTAAAATTTTATTTCTATATATAGTAAATAAAGTTTTAATGTAAAAAAACTGAACATTTTATTATAATTAAGTTTATATTATAAAAGTTTTACACTATATAGAATTATAACATTTATTTTTTCTTTACTTATGGTATTTTCTTTGTGTCAACTGGTTTTCATCTTTTATATATTGAATTATTTTATAATATTATACTGTATATGTTAAATCTTTATTCCAATTCAAGAAATAATATTTGAACAATTAGAAAAGTATTAACAGTACATTGACAAAATGATTCTTGTTAATTACAAAAAGTTTATTTTTGAAGTTAGATAATAATATAGAAAGGAAAGTAATTTTTTTTATTTAATTTGGCAACCAGAAATCTCTTTAACAGATATTATCAATGCTTAAATTTTCAGGAATCTTTTAATTTGAGTAATGGTGTGAAATAATTCAAAACAGATATTACTTACACTTGGAGTATTGATAATTTTTTAATCTTACTATTGTAACAGGAGAAAATTAAAATACTTAAATGTAAGCAAGTTAGAAAATCTAAAATATCTAAATGTTTCTACTAAGTTATTATTTTAATTTTAGTTTAATTTATTATAATAATATTATGATAAAATAGATTTTCTAATTGTATATTAGTCAAATACAAAAGAATTACTATACTGAATAGTAATTCCTATACTATAAATTAGTTAAAAATTGATAACAATTGACATTCTTTTACATCCTATATTATAATTAGCAAAAATCAAAATTCCTTTTCAATATAATATATCTTTTGTATTTGACCTGTGTTAACTTTATTTATATTTAACAAGATGGACCTGAAACATATTAATAACAAAATAGATTTCTTTAGAAAGATATAATTATTAAATAATTATAGGTAAAGCTATTATAGAGAATTTTTTAACCTTTACATTTTTTTCTAAAGAAATCTTTAATAATATAAAATTCAAAAAATCTATGATAAAGAAGTTTTTCTAATATTTGATACATTAGAAAAATATTATAGAAAACAAATGTACAAACCTTATAAAGATGATATAACTTCTGGTGATAAATTTTCTAGTGACATTTTAAAATTAGATTCAATTTCCTTTACACAGACAAAGAAGATTGATATTGAATATTTGTAAATAATTTTATAATATTTTTTTTACCTTTTCTTATATTTTAAATATACACAGATTAAATTATCACAAATTGAAAAATAGTATAAGTTATTAAAATCTCTTAAAATATTTTTAACAAAATCATTTTCTAATTTGAGATAAAAAGTTAATTATTATTTAAACAAGACTTGCTTTATTTCTAAAATAGAAATTTTAATATTCATGTTATCTTTTTACTATACCTTGTTATTTTAAAAAAATACTATTTCTCTCTATACAATATAATTAAAATTATTAAATAGAATATAATATTCTGGTATTAACCTGAGTTATGTATTACTTTGTTATAGAGTGAATTAAGATTTTTTTAACTTTTTATACTAACCTGATACTAACCTGAAACAAAATATTTTATTATCTCTTAAATAATATTGTAAATAAATTTGTTTGAAATTTATAAAATATAATATAAATTCTTTAATTATTTATATAATATTGAATCAATGAAATTTAAAATAAAATTTTTAAAGTATTTTTTAATTTTTTTTACATATACATCAGAAAATTTTTAATAGCAAATATATCTGAATATATTTGAACTGAATATATCCGGATATATTTGACCACCCACTATACGTGTTGCCCAAATCCCAAATCATTTGGGATTTGGGACGCCAAAATCCCAAATTACTAGTATTTGGAATTTG